CATCTGTGGATGCATAACAAGGTTTGTTTGGCCTTCCTAACTGCATCCCCACAATTGGGTTGTTAGAATCCTTTTCTGGAACTAGATCTTCTGTTTCTAGCTGATGCTCTTCAGGAGATGTAATGCTCAAAACCTGCAACATTTTTAATTTTTTAAATTCTCTTTCCATTTGGACTCATCAGCAGTAGGTACTATTTGTGAATTCTTTTAAAATAAAAAATCTATGAGTTAATGGTGACTGCATGTACGATAACTTTCCAATAGCATTCTTTAATATGCAAATACTGTATATATTAATATGACAGGAAAGCCACATTACATGAACTGAGAACAAGGTTTGCCTTTCAGAAATTGACGTCAGGCATATGTGATGAAGTAGAACTATCTCAATGGCCTCAGAACGGTGTGCAATATTGTAAATCATATTTATTGTAATTCCATGGTAGAAAGGAATTCAGGGCAGATTTTTAGCCAGAAATGCCACATATAGAGACATCCTTGCTTTTATAGGTTTAAATCAGGTACCTTATATAAGTGAATTTGAGTTATTAAAATCAAATAAATGTATCCTTTCTCTGCTAATGAAGGAAATATTTATATTTTGAGAATGGTTTAGTGTCAAGTAGGGCTGTGCGAAGCTTCAGTCACTGATTCGATTCGGCAGAGATTTGGCCTGATTTGGTGGCCGAATTGCTGAATCTTAATCAAATCAGAAGACCCTTTGATCTCTCCAAGTCAAATTGAAGAGATTTGATTTGGGGAGATTCGGAGAGTTTCATTGATTCGGCTATAGACACAGCTTTAAATGACTTTTCTATATACCTTAAGATACCGGGCAACTCATGCACACTGAGATGCTGGAGCAGATGCAGCATCCCACAGAAGTGCGGAGTGGGGGGTTCCCAGCGTGCTCAGTGGCAGACCCAGAAGTGGACCAGAAGCACTTCAGGTCCACTTCTGGGTCCGCTCAGTGACTGGTGCCTCCTGGGGTCCCCTTGAAGCCAATCTCTGAGCCGGAGGAGTGCAGGGAGCATCCCCCAGGTGCTCAGTGGTGGACCTGGAAGTGGACCAGAAGTACTTCTGTTCCACTTCTGGGTCTGCTGCTGAGCACACGGCCCCCCCGCGCTCCTGTGGGATGCTCCATCCGCCCCACCATCTCAGCATTCACAAGCTGCTCCTGGTACCTCGAGGTATGTAAAAAAAAAAAAAAATTTAAAGCTGTGTCTATGGCTGAATCACTGATTCCCTGAACCAGCATTGAATCTTCAGATTTAGATTTGGCCATATCGAATCAGGACAGTGATCCGAATCAACTAACTAATTGAAGCACTGTCCCCAGATTCAGGCCAAATATGAATCAAATATGGCCCATTTCGCACACTCCTAGTGTCAAGTATTTTTAATATAAATTGAAATTTCTGATTTTGATTTACATACATAAAATATTAGTGAACTACAGAGACAAATTTAGAATTGTTCAAACACAGATAAGTTCTAAGGCAGTGTATATGTCTGTCCTGGACCCATGGCTACTGCCGACGTGGGGCTGTCTAGGGCCAACAATCAACTCGTTGTAAGTCCTGGCCCAGATGGACCTGGGTCTGGTTCCAGATCCTGGGCTGTTCAGGGCCTAATCTGACAATCAGCTGATTGTCAGCCAGTTCCAGGATCACCCAGCTGCACTCATGGTTTTCAGAGGTCCCAGGACCCTGAAATCAAAGATCCTCTCCCCTACCTCAAGGTTATGTGCCTCAGAATGTCTGAAAACCACATGATTCATCCCAACTCCCTCAGCCCAGCATTTTAAAGTGCCTACTGGGCTGTGGGGCCAGGCAAGAAGGGCTGCTGAGCTCTCAATGGCCCCTTGGCTGACTCCCACCAGAGAAACTTGAAACCTGCTCACGTAGGTGTCCACATCAGGACAGGAGCTATCTTGGTCCCCTTGCCAATACTGGCAATCAGCATCATCATGGAAGTCAGCATCATCATGGAAGTGCTACACATTCAGTTTACGGTGGTGTACAAATGAGCCACAAAGATATTCTACATATTTTGTGGAATATTTTTATGGCTGGCTTGTCATTTTTTGGTTCCATAAATTGACTGAACATGTAGCACTGTTACTATTTGTGGTGCGATTAACATATAAATGATGCCATACTGTAACATGGTCCAGAGGCCTATATGGCACACTGCAGTGCTGTGAAGACATACTCTTTCTAGTTCTGAATGTTCTAGCTCAAGGACCAAACACAGTATAGTGTCTTTAACATGGCACTCAGCCCAAGTGAAATAGCACCACTGAACAGAAAACGGAGCAGTGTGGTAATGGGCGTAAAGAACTGGCTTCCAGGATCTGCTCTACATAGCACTGACTTGTGCTATGTAGACATCCTAAGCTCTATCCATATTCTCTCCTCTGTAGCAATGTCAGAGAGAGAGATATCAAGAAGTAGGAAAGAGGTGGCAGAACAGGGCAACCTAGAGATAGAGTTGAAGGACCAAGTTAAAAATACACTTTACCATGTGCATAAAAGGAGATTGTCTAGAAAAGATAATGAATGCAGGCTGCACTACCTTTAATGCACACACTCTCTGTGCAAGGGCAAAACCCCACAGTAGGCATGATCTTTGTGGGAGGGGGAAGGGTCCTAATATGTTTCCAGTGGAGTTGCATTGTCAGGCATGTTTAAGAGGGGAGATGTTGCCCTGTCCTCAGAGCAGTCACAAAGGGCATAAGTTACCTGTGGAATTCTGTGCATCAGCAAAGTCCTGGGGCAAAAACAGTACCAATTCCAGAAGGTATAGCAAACTCCAGAGTTAGCTATGGAGTTTGACCTCCCACCAGGGCTGTCCCTAGAGGGGTACAAATCAGGGCAGCCGCCCTGGGCCCCGTGTTTTGCGAGGCTCCACGGAGCTGGGCGGAGTGGCCACGGCCCCTTCTGCAGGGCCTGCCTTGTGCTGGAGATTTGCACCAGTCACTCACCACTCCCTCCACTGCCACCATCGGCTTCTTTGCATCTGGGCCCTGCACAGGCTGATTTGCCCCAGGGCCTGCACACTGCTAGGATAGACTCTGCCTCCCACAAACCTATATTTTTGGCAGCAGTAGGCCAACATTAGAAGCTGATGACACCTTCAATTTAGTTTTCCCATTAAAAAATAATTTTTAGGCCACAAAGTGTTACTGAAAAAGCGGTCAGATTAGATGGAATAGGAGAGGAAAGAAGGACACTTCCAATAGTAAAACAAGAATGTATTTGAAACAGCAGAGAAAATATATTCAGAACATTTACCCATTTTTTTGTTTGTTTTCATTCTCCTGAGAACTTTTTATAGCATCTGAAGTAGGTTGTTGTCTATGAAAGCTCATACCTCCCTGAAATGGTTAGTCTCCTAAGGTACCACCTTCTCTGTCCTAACTTCTGCCTTCTTCTCACAGAGGAAGGATGTTTTTCATAATATATCCTACAGCAGTGGTTCTCAACTGTTTTAGACTTGAGGCACCTTTGGATAGATTCAAGGCACCCCTTGGCAAATGCAGCTCTTAGTTTTCATTTATTTTTTTACTATAGATAAGTAATGAGCAATTCTTCTGTTGCAAAGCACTACGAAATGTCATAGCTGGGCCACAACATGGCACAACTGCCATGGCACCCTGGTTGAGAATTACTGTCCTACAGCCTGACCACAGTACTATCTACCCCGCGCCCCCCACTCCCCCCCGATTTTTAAACAGGACTGTTGTAAAATGAAAAAGCCATACCTTAACAGCAGTAAGGCCTGCTAGGTTGTTCATGTGTATGTTAATGCTGTACTTTGAAATGCATTCAGCGTGTAAGCACTGATGTGTTGTAAAAGGTCTATAAATTATACATCAATGTGACTGATGAAAATGCAAAAATAACCTCTATTCCAAGGTTAGAACCACACCAACTAATGATAAATCAAAAATATATTTACATTAGACATATAATAGTTTAATACAAGTAAAGTGTCATGAAGGAATAACATGTGATTTTTCTCCTGACAACACGTCTCTTTTGAAAATTAAAAATGATTAAATAAAATTACAAAGACAAGTTATAAGGTAATAAATAATTACAAATGTTAGAATATTTCCCTTTTGTCCTTGAATATTTAACAATAGGGTGCAGAAACAGATGGAAAAATTAAGAACTCATCCCCAGATTCCTCCTTTGGATAAAAATGCCTCTATGTGCCAGAACCTTCTCTGATCATCATCTGCCATGCGATTTATGTCAGAAATAAAGGTTCAGATCAGGCCCTAAATCCCTGAAAATATGCACAGAATAGGAAAAAAAGGTGAAATTAGAATTTCTTTTGTCCTTATTGTTGATATATGACAACAAAACTGCCTTTTGTACCCTAAAGAAATTTGCTTAATGTTGGACATTTGTCTGTCTACTGATTGAAATACTGAAAAGAAAAGAACTAAACAGAAAATCAACACTAATTACTACTGACTCCAGTGTTTCTAAGTGCATGATGATACTGCAATCCAAGTTTGTTACTGCACCTTTTGTGGAAATACCTGCAAAAGCTTGAAACAGAGACAACTACCTTGACAACAGAGTAGTCCATAGCAGCAAGAGCCAGGACTTTGGTAAATATCTGTGCAGCTTGCCTGAACTAGGCTCTGTGCTGTCACAGCCATACACACTTTGGGTGTCTATGCATGTGCTTCAGGGTGGGGTGGGGGGGGTGCTTTAATTACAGCTACTCTGAGAGTCACACTAATTAAAATGCCCACAGCATCACATGTATTCAACATCCCATGGTTCAAAATGGCAGCGGGGGCACTTGAACTAAAGCTCATTTGACAAGCTTTAGCTAAAAGTACCTCTGCCACCTTTTTTGAAGCATGGGGATGCGGAATAGATGTGACGCAGAGGTTGCTGGAGCACACTAATTATCAATTATTGACTGAGTCTGCTCTGACATGTGCTAATTAGCACATGTCAGTGCAGATGTCCGGCACATGTATAGGTGCCCTTTGGTACTTGAGTTAGCTAATTTAAAGATAGATATGGCTACATGACATATGCATAGATCTAGCTGCATCTATGAACTGCAGTGAAATACACCATGAGACACTGGACTGTTGAAAAATGTTGAAACATGACAATTGAGAGATGTTTCTTCATTATTTAGTATCATTTGTGCTCATGTGGTTAGAGCTTTGTGAAAAGACATACAGTGTAAGCTCTTAGAAACCACGTTTGTGCAGTTTCACTAAAACGTGAAATATTTTGTTAGTTTTCCATGAAAACAAAGCATTTTTTTCTGGGCAAAACACAACAGCAGAAATTCTGACATTTTACAAGAGAAAATGTTATAATGATGGAAATGAGAGGCTGCATTTGGGAAAATGGCAAAAATTTATCCCCAAGCAAATTTTGGAAAATCATTTGATCTGAACAGTAAAATGCCTACTGAATGCATGGAGGCAGGCTGTGTTTGCTAGCAGAAAGGCAAAGTGTACCCTGGAGTTACAGATGCAAAAATCTCAAATTGCAGTTGCAAAAGGAAACCTATCAGCTTTGTACATTATGCAGATTGGATTGCATTAGCAAAATAATCTAGTCCTGTTCTGTCCATTTAGACAAATACATGTTCATCTTTACAGTGATTTCTCCCTGTGGATAACTTTTTACATATTCACAGACATTTTAATCTATACCTGAAATCAATGTCATTGCCTGGTGGTAAAATACCAAGTCCTGCTCGGGACTGATCTAAAGAAGGGCATGCCACATCATTGTCAACAAATTCCATTTCAAAGTATGAAAGTACCAAAGTCAAAAATTGTTTGATTTCATGAACAGCAAATAATCTGCCAGGACACTTTGCTATTCCTGCTCCGAATGGCATGTAATAATGTCTTAATTTGCGCCCACTGTGATAGAAGGCAGTCTTCTCTTCTCCATTCTCATTGAGAAAACGATCATACTTGAATATCTGGAATGAAACACAAAAACTGACATTTGAAATCTCTGTGTCTTTTAGGACCAAATCTTGTCATTATAGCACAACCTCAAGCAGAAGAAGACAGTGCCATAAGACCTCTGTGGCAGGTCATGCCTGTCACAGGCTAACTTTAATCTTGAATACTCTTCCCTAAGGTAATACAATACATGCTCTTATGCATGGGCAGCATAATGTTTCTGAAGGGGGTTTTTTTCCTTCTCCTGGCTTTAAATGACACATACAGGCTGAAGTACAGTCTAGCCTTTTCTGAATGTATCTAAATCAAAAGACTTCCCACAGCATCATTACCTATCCATAAGAAAGAATTTCCTCTTCTCTTATTGCAGGGTTTTTGGTTATAGCCGTGTTGGTCACAGGACACAGGCAGGAAAGCTTCTTTGGGTAGATGTGAAATCTTTTATTAAACCGAGTAGTTGGAAAAATGTTCTTGGCAAATTTTCAGGCACCCTTCTTTAGGCATGGGGAGTCTTTTCTGTTCTGAGATCTCCAAGGACATCTCAGAACAGCAGAGACTCCCTGTGCCTGAAGAAAGGTGCCTGAAAGCTTGCAAAGAACTGTTTTCCAACTGTTCATTTGATCTAATAAAAGATATCACATCTACCCAAAGAAGCTTGCCTGCTCTTTTCTTCTCCTCACTTGAACTTGCATATCACAACAACTTTTTTCTGGCTGAGGAACATTGTATGGGACTTCCTCTATCTAGACTTATCAACATTAGTTTTTGGCTGGCTAAAAAGATACAAGGCTAGTGGTTTACTTGCTTCTAACTTTTGCCTGTTCAAGGAGTTCAAAGACATAAATTCAGGTCATTTAAGGAAAACTGGGCCACTAACATGTCAGAAGCTTTACTGAATGATACTTAGATTCTGTTGGAGATTCTGTTGGAGATTCTGTTGGAGTGCTTATGTATGTCATAATTACTCACCAAAGGATCTGCATAGATTTCTGGATCAAAGTGCATCAGCTGAGGATAGAGAGCTACAATGTCATTTTTGCGAATGTTATAGGAGTCATTTTCTAAACACAAAGTAAAATCCTCTTTAGCAACTCTGACAGTCATGGATGCACTGGACAATCGTATTGCTTCTTTGATAATACTATCTATGGAAACATAAAGGGAAATAATTAACATTAAAATAGTATGCTTATGTCCTTCAGTACATTGTATAGTCTAAACTCATTATAACATGCAATACAACATGCATTATAATGAACCATGGGACTTGGAAAACATTCATTAAAAGAGGGTGTTCACTACAATGGGGACAGTTAATTTGCTGAATAATAATACTGAAAAAAATATTATCCTGGTGTTGTGATTTTTAAAAGTCAGGATTTGTTATAAACATGGTGAGTTATAACTAGGTTGCACCATAGTTTGTAAAGAAAGAATTTGCTTACATGAATAAATATAAGAAAACAGCAAAAATTAGATTGACAAGAGGAAGAGTTTTTTCTAAGTTTTGCTTTCTATCATCAAATTTCCCTTTATCTGGATAGTGTTTTATCATTAATATAGAAATTAAATATATGTATTTATCACATTTGCATTAACATGAATACACATTATATACTACATAGATAGGCTTGGCAGGATTTGATTTTTATTGGTACACGTTGGTAAACATCAATATCACCTCTCAAAGACCAACAGCAGATATTTCCATTGTTAGTAATCAAAATTTATAGAAAGGGGATGTAAGAAAAATGATGGCTGATGGAGTGTGTGACAACAGGGAGAGCAGTCCTACAGAACTGTGCTGAAGCAGTTGGAACTGCAACTCCCAGAAACCCCGGGGCACTGGGAACAAAGGAAGAGGAAGTGACAAAGGAGACAAGACAGCTATGGATCAGCAGAGCCAGGACTAATGGCAGCTCTGCCACTCAGCTGGTGGCAGTCCTACACTAGTTATGTTTGTCATGGCAGACAGTTAAAATATACTGTAATAATAGTATACTGTCACTAATAAATGGTTTGGCCCCTACATCTTTAATGTCATGCAATCCTGAACATTTAAATCGGTAACAATTGAAATAAATGCTTAAAAATAAACATTGATATTATCTATCAAAATTATTAAAAAATAAAACTTAAATTCTGCCAAGCCTACATATAGTGTGTGTGTGTGTGTTCATACACACACAAACATCTATACAATATACACAGCACATCTAGCTATTCATTTTGTTTTAGTGCATAACTTATATATATTAAATATCACTGAAGCTTGTAATATATAATAGAACAAGGGTGCTCAACCTCCAGCTCATGGGCCAAAAACAGCCCATGGAGCCATGGCATCCAGCCCAACAGGTCAGGAAATCTCAATCCAGGGGATCGGTGGCAGTTAATACTGTCACCCTTCCCTGCTACCAAATTCCAAGCCCCATGCTATGGGTTGGGACTGGGCCAAACCCCCTTCTCCCACGAACGGCTGGATAGGACCCTGCCATGACCACCCCAGGTGCTGGATTGGGACCATCAGCCAGATCTGGCCCATGGATGGACAAGGCACTACCCATTCAGCCCACTGGCCAAAAAGGTTGAGCACCCCTATAATAGAGCATTAAATGATGAAGTAAGAACCTTAAAAGAAGATTGGACAAAATACTGGCAAATACAGAACAGGGAACAAGACTGCCCTGGCAGCAGGAATGAAAGGGTCTCCCAAGGGTTCTTTTCCATCTCTGTTTTCTATGCTTCCTGCTTAAATGAGCTCTAGGAATTTCTAGGTGTTTAAGTAGCAATGTGTTCCTATCATTATAATTGGGTCACCCTTCTTCATAAAAATAACCAAGCTAGGCTGGATAGGAGAAAAATTAATAAAGATGTCTTTGTGAACTTCTTCCTCCACAATTTTATTTCACAGGGATTCATGTCACCATGGTGGAACAAAAAATGATACCACTGCATAAAACTAGAGCTTTGCTAATATGCCAACCCTAGCCTTACCCTCATTTCTTCCCTTTCTACTACTCCCTAGCTAAGGTCCTTGCAAATAATGGGAAGGGGAAGAGACTGTTGACACCACTTCCCCCTGATAGAGAGTGGTGAGATCTGTATGGCATGTGACACTTTGTGTAGATAAATCTGGAAGAGCATCCCATCCCCTCTCCCACCTCAAATCATTTAATGCTTGAGAACAGAAAAAACAACCTTGCCCTGTGTCTTGTAGACAAGCTGTCCCATCATAACCTGATAAAGGAAAATATATGAAGAAAACAATAAGGATGGAGGAACATCATCCTGAGCTTTAGTGCTCAAGGTAAAAGAATGATATTAGCAACAAGAGGTAACTAAAGAAAAGTATATTAAAAAATTAAGGAAAGAAAGGAAAGGAAAGGAACAGCTATTATTTTTTTAAGATCCTAATTTGGATTTAAGGTCCTAAATCACACTGACTGCTTTGAAAATATTACCTGCAATTTAAAATATACAGACACATGTACACACTAATAAATAATAACCATGCCTTTGGTCATGTTGTTAGAAGTTGTTTGTTTAACCATCACTAATAGTTGGGATACCATCAGCATGTCAGCAGCACCTCAGGACCACTCCATAGAGCACAGCAGTGAAGCATATCACACTCTCTCTGTGAACTTTACCTGCCAAAACTGATTTAATGTAGTTGCCTTAGTGCAGCATTTCATAGAGGAAATAAGCTTACTAGTAAGCACTACACTATGGTGGCTATATTACATTTTTTTTTGGAACAGTGCAGGTGGAGTGAAGGTGGTGCTTCATATTACTTATTACTACTGCCTTTATTCAGGCAGTATAGACATGCCCCAGACCACAACATATGATTATGTGGATCATTCTATAGCATAATACTTAACCAGTAAATTAAATTGATAGGGAAAAAATTGGATTCTGTTTAAAGCTGGGATACTTCCTAAGTCTTTGCTTGTATGGCTTTATTATCTTCTCTCTTTTTTTTTTTTTTTTTGGCTGTTTAGGATTTTAGAGCAAGTGTTATACGAGCTATAAATAGGACAGAGTCTTAAAATTGTGGTATGGATTCTTGTATTGATGCATATGTTAAACATACCTAGAACTGGCATGTTATCAAGCTGTTTTCGATTCAAGGAAATATATTTGCCATCTAAGCTAATCTTTTCACCAGCATCTTCTAACATGTTTTTTACTTCTTCAGTAGCAGCTTTCATTGCTTCTGGGTTCCTAAAATCAAAATAGTGGAAATAAAAGGTATTTATGTCATAGAAGTACTGTATTAAAAACATTGCAGAGTTAAATTAGACTCTTTTTCTGTCTACAGTTCAGTTTGTTAATTCACTAGTGTAATTTTGTAAAATGAAAGACCTGCAGAAAAGCATCCAGACAAAACAGCATTATACTTTTTAGATAGGTATTGGAAAAATTCTGCATGCTCAGAATTTTTTTTAATTGAGTATTTGCTTCTGTATCTATTCCTGAGTAGGACATTAATGTGTACGATACTGCTGATGAATAACTAATGACATCACTGTAAAATGATGCCAAGAATAAGGAATAAAATGATGTGTTTGCAGATTATACAACAGTCCCATCAATGCTAACAGTCAAGATAAAGATATCATAGTTCACTTTCATATCATCAGCTGTTCTGACTGATGTCATATTAGGTGACTACTTTCTGCCTCCCTGAAAAAATATCTCCCTGGGCATGCCTACATATGCAAATATGGTGCGTGAATAAACTGCAGAGCTTATTGCTCCAGAGTTAATTGCTCATTGGAGCACCATTTGAACGTGCTCCCAGAAGCAATTAACTCCTGAGCAATATGATCCGCAGTTTATACATGTGCACCACGCGGAGCCCAGGCAGCGCAGCCCCAGCTGGCAGGAGATCCTGGGGGCTCAGCCTGCCATCCCAGAACTGCACCCCTCCTCCCCTGGCTCAACATGCTGCAGAGAGGCTGGCTGGGGCATTAGGGAGCTTCAGTGCAGGGCTAGCTGGCTGGCAGCTCTTGCACTGTAGCACTCTTGTGCCTGTTTTTATTCCACAGCAGGATAGTACTTGTATTTACAAATTCTATCCTGCTGTGGAGTGAATTAGTTTAATTTAATAGGGGCTCATATGTAGACACTGATACATTTCCTGTGCAGCTAATTAGTTGACTGCACAGTAAACAACTTGTATAGACACCCCCTGTCATTTACACTGAATAAACTTTCAGTTTTGGGGGTTTCTATACAACTATAGATGACTTTAATAATGGGTGAAGTAATTTTAGACATATATAAGATGTATCATAATATTGTAATATTTGTGGAGATAAAACTCCCACAAAATCAAAATGCCAAAAGATTCCAGGATCAGAATGCTTGTAAAAGTTTTATAACACCTTTGTGGGGTTTAACAAACCATGCTATATAAGCTTCAATTCTTAACATTGGCAAGAAAATACTATCTGTCTTAATTGTACTATTTTAGCTTATCACAGACATACAGGTAACAGCTAAAACAATCATTTCTTGTCTGGAAATGATTTGGAAATTTAGGAGAGATTTTTCCAAGCCAAGTCAGAGATTTGGATGCCAGCTTCTCCACAGCCACCTTTGGAGGAAAACAGAGTAGGGGATCAGGGTCTACTGGGTCAAATCTTCAGGTATTGTAACTTTATTCAGTTTCTCTCACTATTTAATTTGATTTATTTTCTCTTACTATTTTCTACTAAGCAACCAATATTCATCTGTGAATACATGTGGGCACAAACTAAAGCATACTAAAACATACAATAAGATTATATCTCCTAAATGGAAATGGTCAGAAAATGCCTCACTACCTAACAGTGGGAATCCCTGGTGCTGCTAAGCCTTCTGCTGCCAACCTCTATTTTTGTTATTGTACTATTTTGACTTGCTGTATGGTTTTTAAAGCACATTTGGTGCCAGAAACTTTTCTAAGCTTGGATTTAAAACACTGGGCAGAATATTTTTAGAAAATATTCCTAATGTAGAGAAGGCCTATGTTGTACTATCTCCTGCCCTATTGTGAAAGATGTTTCTATAGAAATACAGATTCGTGACAAAGGCCTAGTCCTACTGAGATCTATAGGACTTTTGCCACTGACATCAATGTGGCCCTTTATATCAAAATGATTTCTCAGCATCAAAGCCAGAAAGTTATTTTTCCTTTTTGGAAAATTAAAACATTAGTACTTACCTAATAATATGGAATAAGCTCCAAAAAGTAGCAGGTATTGTATTAGACTGTGAAGCCCACAGTATAACCACATGGGTTTTGGCTTTTTCCTTATCATCAAAAGTGGACAGAGTATCATTCAAGAACATGCGGAGAGTGACAAGCTCTGAGATGTTGTCCCTTTTATAGAGTTTTTCATGGAGTAGTTCCTGTTCCAGCTTTGCTCGTGCACTGTGGGCGTTCTTGAACATATGGATAGGTAGGCCTGCTACAAGGGCTGGAAAGATTTTGTCAAATTCCTTAAAGTTTTCAAGAGCCTTTAGAATACGTGCTCTCTCCATTTCCTGCTTAGACAGATTTTTGTCATGATTTGAATTGAACTCTGTACCAAAGAATGTTAAAAAGCCAGCTTCAAAGATCACCCGGCTGCAGAATGCATGAAGTTTGTCTGTTATCCAGTTGTTGGGATGGAGTTTAGATGTGCTTGACTGTAGCATGACATACTGTAGGTTTTCCATCATGGTTTCAATAAGAGGATTCAAGGCATTACCTTGCAGAGTTTTAATAAAAGTGTGATGAAAATCTTCACTGGTCTTTCCGTCATTTGGGTCAATACTTCCATGTCCAAAAGCCTGCCACCAAATAAATTGTATGGGAGATAAATGAGGCATATCATAACCTTGGTGAGTAATAATGTACAAGGGAAATCATAGCCAAGATGCCTTTCTTTCTAATTTAGTGCAGGGAAATATAAGAATATCAACTCTATAATTCATACTTGACTACAAATCTTGGCAATTATTAAACAAGTAAACAAAAATAAATTCTACTCGATGTTTATAACTAAATCAAATTAGTTTAGGACCACATTTAATTCCTCCTGAAGTCAATGGAAGTCCTTTCACTTGCTTCAAGAAGAGCTTGACTGAGCACTTTATTGTGCCAAAACATTTTTGAAAGGCCAAGCTCTAATCTTCCAACATTATGATCACCTTCTGAGAAGGTCTGAGTGCCCTTGGCTCCCCAGCACTGTAAAGCAATTTACACCTTAGGCTAATGTTCTTTCCACTCTAATGATTTGTGGTATCAACCAACTAAATAATGTCATTCTTGAGTAGTCTACATTTATTTGCCAGATTCATTTTTATTTTATATTAAGGGAAACAAAAACAAAAGAAACAACTGAAATATTATGGTAGACGTGAGCCATGAGGCAAGCATTACATCAGCGAAGTAGACTTACAAAAAAGACATATATAATTACTGCCTGACTTGACTATGCTGATATTTTAAATGATAAACATTAAATTATGGTAACAATCAAAATGCTTTTAAGTGGTACCTTGGCAGAAGCAGCAAAATGGAACTTTTTCCAGTCCAGATGCTTTCCATGGCGTATAAGTGAATGGTATGAAAAGGGGTCCGTGAGAAAGTGAATATACTTTCCAGCTACTTTGCATGTGAAGACACAGCCATATCTCTTTTGTCTTGCTCTGAGAAATTCAAGAGGATTTGCACCAAACTGCAAGGCACAACCCAGATATGGGAGTAACCCATTTTCCAATGGTGGCTCACCTGAACGCCTGCAAATTATAAACAAATCCTGTAAATTAGGGATCTAAATTAATATCTGTCCTTTGATTCTACTAGCTAAGTAAGATTAAGATACTGCTCTATTTATAACATTTCATTTTTATCACTGTTAACAGGAAATTCTCCTCCCTTTGATAACTAAATCCATTCAGAAGTCAACAGTATGCTGGAAAGAATGACCTTGCCAGTCAACATCTTTCTACAAAGCAACACTGATGAAGACATCGGACATAATAAATTGGCCCAATTGCCTGAGATATTTTGGATCTAGAGTAGGACTTTTCAGGACCAGTGGTAGAATTTTGTCCATGGAGAAGCCCCATTACTGGAGCCGACTCCTCTGGGCAGTCTGAGTCTAAGTTTGAGAGTTCATATGGCAAGAGGAAAGGGACATGTATTTGGTTTATGTTTTGTTAGGTTTGTTAGCGTTTTGTTACTTTGTTCTTCATTTCTTTCATTACTTTATTTAATTTTTCCTGACAGTTGCCTTTCAATATGTTTGATCTCATCTGTGAGTAACTTTATGGAAGCCTAGTTTGGTCAGCCCATACTGATGAGTAATCCTTAGGCTACAGGCATCCAGAATGGTTTCATTTAATCGTTTTCTGGCAATAACAAAAATATTAAGAGGAAAGTATCACTTGTGATTCCTATTGTTTTTAACTTTTGGGTGCTAAGTTTCATTTTTTTCAACAAGAAAGTGAGACATGAACATTTTCTGTTAAAGGATAGAGCAGGAGTGGTTTAAGATTTGTTTCACTTTCAGCCAAAAAAAAAGTTTATATGGAAAACCAAAAACATTTGCTAAATATGACTTCTCAGAATTAAAGGTGTCTGTTTTTCACTTTTGATTGGAAAAGAATAAAAATGTTTTATTAGCTCCAATTTATATACTCAAGTATTCCTATTGATTTCCATATGGCTATTCAAGTGGGTAAAAATTCCTTGTTTGAGTCCTGCTCTACAATAGTGGGGGGGCAACTTTTTTGGCAGACACATCACAAATTACAGTACCTCTGCCACTGCCCAGGTGCCACTTTGATCCTCTTCCCCTGCCCAATCTGTTGCCCTGTTTTCTGTTCCCAGACTTGTGCTCCCTGCTTGATCTGCTCTGCTTTCTACTCCCTTCCCTGTACTTCCCACCCAATTTGCTGCTTTGTTTTCTGATTCCTGCCATATCTGTGGCTGAGCTGCCCGTACCCTCTCTAATTTACCATGTACCACACACAGGGGCTGCCTGTGGCAACCCTGCTACAGGTTGGCCACCACTGCTTTATAGAAAAAGGGCTGCAATTTCTGCTTATTAATTTGTCAGTAAGAACCACACTTACTGCCATTAAAATTAATAGTCTAAGTCCCATGGCCACATCTATATGACATGCTACTGTGCAGTAGCACCGGTGAATGCCTTTTTTGTGATGCTACTGCACAATAACCTAATACTACTGCACAATAGCATCACATCATGGTTTTTGCCACACATGTAGACATGTCCAGTGTCTTTAAAGGGTATATGACAGTCTCCTAAAAACCTGGGGCTGATCCTGTGCCCACTGAAGTCACGGGCAAAACTCCTTCAATAGTACAGGAAATTCCACGAGCAACTGAACACTTTGGACTAGTTGTTTTAATATTCTCAATTTAATATTTGCAACACCCCTAACATGATTTTTACTTCGAAGTGGGTTCACTTTGCAGGAATGGGTGGTACCCTCTTTGCAGAGTCAGGCCCTTGCTTGCTCTGCAAATTCTAAAATAGATAGCATTGTATTAATTATATTGTTAAATATACCGTAAAGAATGGGAAAAGTAACTGCATTATTAAATCAGTTCAATAGTCTGCAAGAAAGAAGAATTGGACATGGCTAAACAGAACATGGACTTCAAGAGACACTAAAACTGAATTATTGTACTAGCTGGTTGGTTTTTGGCTTGTATGGTTCTCTGACACGCTAAATGCTAAGCACTTTGAACCTATTCAAGAAAGATTATTGGCATGTCCCACTTGGCTGAGATCCTGCACCACAGAAATCAATTGGAATTTGCCTTTGACTTATGAAATGAAGATTACATGCTCTAGCCATAAATTGGCAGAATGCTTATGCACAGATTGAAAGTTAAGCATGTGCTTAAATGGTCCATATATTTGAGATGAAAGTAACTACTTTCCTTCCTTTGGACTAATGCAGAATGTTACAAATAACAGTTTTAATTTTGGTGCTTATAACTTACTTACTGTGATAGTACACCAAGGAATTAATTTTAGATATTTTATTATTTCTTAAATAAAGAAAAACTGTAACTGAAGAGAATATATAAAGTGTAGAAAAATTATAGCATTAAAAACCCCTTATGCTTGAATTTGTTTCTGCAGATATGACACTTGCCTATAGAATAAAGCTTTTAGAGCCTATCCCATGAAAATATGTATTTAACACTGTAAACAGTGCAAATGTTGCCTCATTAAAAATTCAGTATTCAATCCTTATTCAAAATAGCTACAGTTTAGATTAAACTGCACCCAGTCTGTCTGTGATATAGAGAAAGAAAGCAAAAAAGCATAAGGATAAATCAGTTATGCAGTTATCAGACAAATATGTGTGGGGCCTGATTGCTCAAAAATCTCAAGATCCCAGAATTCCTGTGTGTACTAAGCATGCCTAAATATAAGACCTTACACAAACCAAATTATAGAAGTTTTGTCTTCATTTACAGATAAGTTTTTATTTATATCTATTGTTACTATTGTACCCAAAAACAATATTATGGATCTGCTTAGCCCATTTTTATTTAGCTATAGAAAAAACTATACTGTAATATCAATCTCTCAAAAAAACAAAACAGTAACATCATTATTAGTCTCCTTTACTTGTGAATCTATGTTCAAATTACTTTTGTTTTATTTATATAAACAATATCTTTTGAATGACATAAGAGATAACAGGACTCGGATATAGTTAAAAAGATTCTTTACCTCCTCCTTTTTCCTAGAAGAAACCAAAAACA